GGGCCAGGTACTGCTGGTTGACCCATATCTCTGCTGACGGTGCCCGGGAGTCGGGGCGTGCAAGCTACGCGAATCAATTCCTAGCCCACGCCTTATTACTTTTACTGACAAACAGTATACTAAACAGCACAGCGAAGAAAGCTGTTGTGTTAAGGATCATCCAGTATAGCAGCAACTGAAGTGCAGCCCCGTTCAAGTAGTTCACAGTCCATAGATCTCGCTTAAGTAGATCATATGAGAACTGAGACTTGTCAATAGTCACCACTAGCCGACTAGCCAACACGGTCAACTTGAATAGGAAGTGAACCCAAAGCACTTGAACGCCGGCGTATATCAAGTCCAGTATGTAGTATGTAGACAGAAGAGCGGCCAAGTTGCGGAGAGCCCATGGCCTGAGCGATCGCGACTCCCGAACGAAGGTCCACTTATGAAGGAGTACACGCTCCCTGCATATGAACCATCCGCTGTTTGTGATCGCGCCCAACAAGCGTATGCAACAAAGCTCGTGTTTGGTGGGGTCTCGTCGAACAAATCGAAGTTTGTGAGTCCAATAGATGCATTTCTCGGGTTGTCGTTTGGCCCACTCTGAAAAACACGCATCACCGACGATGTGCATGCAGGGAAGCAGCTGGATTGGGCGACAGCCTTGGGCGGAGGGTAGGATCGAAGTGTTGTATGGCTCTCGGCAGATGATACACACATCGTCTGGGGCGACGGAGACGTCGGCTCGAATGTTGTAATTCAGTCTCCACAAAAGATCTCGGAAGAATGTTTGCGGCCTGACGGACATTATGGTGTGGAGGCTTGGCTGTCCAGTGACTGGATTGAAGCATTCACTTTAGAGCTATATGTAATCATCTCTTCACAATGTCGTTTGCACTCGTTCATTGGCGCATGTCCAGAGACAAAGCGGAACTTATTGTACAAACGATGTGCGGGAAGAAACATCGACAAGATAGACATCAGCCGCAATCCCTAGCAATCAATGTTGATGTGTAAACTGTGTTGGCCCTAATGTCCATCAGATGTACGTGTCGTTTTCGTGGCCGCGATATCAGGAAAAAAGTCGTGGTCATAGTATGCTGTGGTGCAGCCTCGATGTCAAGGGTCGTGGTGAAAGATGGCAAATCCGACAGGATCGCAAGTGCTGCACGTGTTTTGCACTAAAGCGGAAAGGCTAGTTAGTAAGCGGGGCAGCAGGTGCGGGAGGGGCCTAGGCCCAAGCTCCTGCCGCGCCCGCCAGCTCTCCAGGTACTCTCCCACGGCGCTTCCCTCGATGCTAATAACACCTGCCACACGCGCATTACGACCACTCCGACCACTCATGACGAGCGCATATTATCTCGCAAGACCTTTGTCATCCCGATCCCGAAGCGCGTCACCCAAAATGGCCGACACACTGTCTCTCGACGAGATCCCAACCCTCACCTTGCTCTACAAGCTAAAGAAGATCGTGCCAAGCGACGACAAGACCCAGTCCACATACAACGCGTCTGCTACCCTCAACGACAAGATCAGCGTCATTCGACAAGACATCACAACGCTAGCCATCGATGCCATCGTCAACGCCGCGAATACGTCACTTCTGGGTGGTGGAGGCGTGGACGGGGCGATCCATCGCGCAGCCGGGCCCGGCTTATTAGAAGAGTGCGAGACGCTGGACGGTTGCCAGACAGGCAGTGCCAAGATCACAGATGGCTACGAACTGCCTAGCAAGAAGGTCATCCACGCCGTTGGACCGATATACTGGAAGGAGGGCTCGCGCTCAGCAGAACTATTATCAGGCTGCTACCGCACGAGCCTGGAGCTAGCAGTCGAGAACGGCTGCAAGAGCATCGCATTCTCAGCCTTGAGCACTGGCGTCTACGGCTACCCCAGTGGTGAGGCCAGCACAGTCGCGCTCGAGACGGTGCGCAAGTTCCTTGAAGAGGACGGCAAGGCGGACAGGCTTGACCGCGTCATATTCTGCAATTTCCTCCAGAAAGATGAGGACGCTTACTTCAAGAACATCCCGTAAGTCTCAGGCGTCATCAGTCTCACTCCATACACTAACGACTACCTAGTGACTACTTCCCACCAGTCGACTCCGACCCCAAAGCGCAAGAGGAACAGTCCACCGAACCCTCCGAACTCGCATCGCAACTTCCAGACGCCCCGACAGCCGACCCTAAAGATACCGACGATGCTCAACAGCCATCTCCGAAGAAGCAGAAGACCACCGACACCGACGATGACTTTGTCGTGGTCGAGAAAGATGACATCAAGGAGGACAAGGCGAAGCCTGAGCTGTGAGATCATCACAAAATAATGCGATAATGACGGCGAAGGTTATGGGGTTTTCATTGGCTTATGTCTGTACACGTTGTGATTTGGGCATACTGGGCGTTCGGTCATTGGGCATGGGAGGCTTATACCCTGGATACGAGTCATGAACGAGCCACATTGATTTTCATCAATTGAATGACATACACGCTCAGTCGTGTCTTGCTCTTCGAATTCCGCGCTGTCCCTTGATCTGGTCGCAGACTAACTTCTCCCGACACCTTTCACTGACAGATTTGTTTAGAGTACTTCAGCTATGTGTGCTCGCACAGGGTGACGCTCAGTCATTTCACCGGAAAATACAGATTGCAGTCGAAGCCAGCGAAGGCTCTTTCCACCGACATTTCGCCTCTAGTATAACTCGCGTTACGACCGACTTCTCGCAGAAACAATCACTACAAACCACAGTCAACAAAACGTTCCCGACATAAGCCATGCCGCACTTCCTTCAGCCACTCGTAGCCGTCCCATTAATTCCCGCTTACAAATACAGAACAGCTTCCGTTGAAGAAGACGACGTATGCTACATCTGCCGCGAGCCCTTCTCCATCGACGACTGCTCGCCCCTCCAGATCACTCCCTGTGGCCACATCGTGGGGGAGAAGTGCTTGTACGAGTGGTTGAAACGACAGCCGGACAAATGCCCATACTGGAATCACCGTCTTCCGTATCGCCCTGCCGTTGAGAATTCTATCATCTGCGCTCTGGTCAACTCACGCATCGGCTCCATCTGGTTCCATGTTTTCGAACGCTACATACTTGACTTACCATGCTTGTCTATCCGCGAGGAAGTTCAACGCGTCATGCAGAACCCTGACTGGTATGTTGATGGAAGTGTTCAAGATTTCCATATTATTCTGCTGGTAATACGGAACGCTGTCCTTGCCTGGCAGATCGGACTTGTAATGTCGCTTTTCTGGCGCTCGACTGGCGATAAGCAGTTCAGTCAAGACCCTATAATGTTAGTGGGGAATATTCTGGTGGTGGTCATCACTTTGCTCAACATCTTGACTTTCCCGACTTTGATAGCTATACTTGTTGACTGGTCTAAGAGGCGATCTAGAGCTAGGACCGCAAGGACTCGACTGCGACGATGGTAAGATTGAGGCCGATAATCAAAGCCTTCGTAATCCAAGGAGTTTTCATACGGTGCGGTCGAGCCAGTGTTAGATCAACAGTTCCAAGTTGCGATCTATAAACAAGCGTCAAGAGTGCTAAAAAGAGTTTCTAATCATCCATTGCGCTTTGTTACACCACACCATCGGTATCATGCATGAGTGCACTCAATGGGTAATTCATTACTTCTAACTCTCAACTACTGAACTTCCCGATACCAGACTCTGCGCGTCGATGTGAACTCCTGCTCCATCTCCCCAACCGGCCAATGCGTGTCCTGAGGAGGAATGTTGTTTCGATAAACTGGAGAGGGGCGCCGAGGGCCATAGATCAGATCATCAGGCGATTCAGCTAGACGCGGCGCATCGACGATGTCACAACCTTGAGTCGGTGTCGATATAAAACTGTCGTTACTCCGCGCAAGATCGCTGATAATTGCTGTGCGGGGCGTGCTAGGGGTCAGTGCCTGCGAATCGCGTTGGACATCGACGTCGGCTTCGACATCAATTCCATCCTTTCCAGATGCGGCAAGAGCACGCCTGTGGAAGCACTGCCGCACAGTGGTAACAATCCATATGAGAATAGGTATGCCGATCAGAGCGCCAATGACGCATCCGGCAATGATGCCGTTTGTCTTAGCGTCGTTGGGGTCGGGGCGATGGGTTTCATCATATGAGTACGTCGGCGTGGATGCAGGCACGGTAGCTTCGACGTACGGATATGATGGAGAAAGCGTCCAAGGTGGGACCGTTGGTACCGGTGCGATGGCTGGATCGGACCAGGCAGGTTGTGTCCACGCAGGTTCGGTCCATGCTGGCGCTGAGGGTGTCCACTCCCACTGGCGCGCATGAAGGTCTTTATTGCCATTTGGCGCGGATGGTGCACCTGCGTTTATGGTTGCGGCCATTACCGTAACTTTTGACGGCTCCGTGATGGACAGAGAAGGGCGGACCGGCGCTGCACAGACAACCGATACGCTTATGAGAGCGAAGGTGAGAAAGGGTAATAACATACCTGGTGTAGATGCAAGCATTTAGAGAATTGATCTACAGCTACTAACGAGATACTCACTACTGTGACGTTCGATCCAGCGAACTGTGAAGATGTTTATCGTGTGTTTGCTGTCCTGCGTGACCTTTACCCTGTGGTCCGCCGAATGCAATAGTCACTTCGCGCCTTGAAGGATCTGCTCCAGGACTGCGCTTGAGATTTTTCAATTAGTACAATGATGGTGTTGTCAGGATACAGGGCGCGTTGTGAGATGACATCGATGAGGTTGGGGCTGGCAGTGATACGTAGATAGTTGATGGCATGTCGTGGTGCTGGCGATTCATCGTCGATGCAGTATACACTTCGACAAGATAAGATACAGCGTTCATGTATGAGCTTCTCGTATAGTAGAATTTTAGTAGTGATGCCCGGATTTGTGTCACGCCGAAGCCGTGTCGATGGGTACACGCACCACATACACGCCCTTGCAGAGCTCCCCACAACAGATCTGCGATAACCATGCTGAGACTATGAGCTTGGGTGTATGTCTTCGGGGCAAGAACGAACTTCGCTTATGTCATCCGAACATATTTGACCGGACCAACGTACGCGTGTCTGCCACGAAGAATGTAGTACAGTATAGCAAAGAGAACGACAATTCCATATCCCAGGACCGCCCAGTTCATATCTGTTACTGTTGGTCGAGGCCCAACAGGGAAGAAGCAGAAGACCCAAGCAAACAGCAGGAAAAGTACAGCGATGATGTTGATTGGTAATCCAAGTCTTCCCAGGTCGAACTTGGACGGCAGGAGCGGCTCGCCTCTTATGCGCTTCAGGGCAACGCACGAGATCGTGATCAGATATGAGGTCAGCATCGAAGCTACACCAAGTGAAATGACCTGCATGAACGCGACGGTGGAGCCAAGGTTGATACACGACAGAATTACGACGAAAACAACCGTTATGTAGGTCGAGTTGATCGGTACTTGGCGCTTCGTTGATACCTACTCGCTGTCAGTTCTCGTTTGAAGTAATAGCCATGGCAAAGTCGGCTTTTGACGAACCTTGCTGAAGACATGCGCAAATGGGACGCCATTATCACGAGCGAAGGCAAATACCTGGCGTGAACTTGTTGCCATAATAGCAACGCAAGCGAAAATCGCAACGACCAACATTAAAACCGTCAGCGCAGTCGCGCCGCCTACGGACTTGGTCGTGTCGACGAAAACTTGAATGAAAGGCGTGCCAAGTGGGGTCGTAAGTACAGAGACCGTATCGGTGACGCAGAAGCAGAAGGTGATTGCCATGATCCAGCCGAGCAACCCGTTCCCGAGCCACGTCCACATCATAGCGCGCGGAATCACATGGGCAGCATCGCGTACCTCCTCCGCCATGTGTGCTCCCGCTTCAACGCCAACGAAGGAGCTGGTAGCGCTCGTAAGGCCAAGAATGACCGCGAGCGGAATATTGTCCCACATCATATTGTCCTCAAAGACCGTGAAGACGTCGCTGGAAGAGTGGCTTCTATCGCTCATGACCCAGAGTGGAATTACGACAGCGAAAAATCCAGCAACGTGCAGTATGACGACGCCTCCTTCTATTAATGGTAGATGGCGAGAGAGGTATGTGTTGAACCCCAAGCATATGGCCAGGACAGCCCAGATGAGGAGCGTTCCGTGCCACGCCTTCGGGATGTATGATGTATTGTTCAAGATGATGAGGCCCTGGATCTGTTTGCCGGAAAGATACGAAACGGTTGCTACACCGGTCTGCCAGCCCAGAACCCCGAGCCAACCTACCAGATAGCTGAGAAACTTCTGGCAGCTTGGTGGTGCGAACTCTGATACCCAGTGGTACTGTGCGCCAGCCGTTGGTGCCCTGCTAAAAGTGAGTAACTATCATTGGAGGTCATTAAGCTGTACCCACATTGATGCCATTTCAGCCAGCGAAGCAACAACGAAGCCGAACCCAATCATGACGATGAAGTATCCCCAGATAAGCCCTGCTGTTCCGCCGTTGGCAAGAGCAAAGACGGATGTGGCAAGGATAGTCTCCCAAGTCGAAAGAAGAACTATGCAGAATCCTAGAATGGTGATAGAACGGAAGTTTCGCCGGGTTTCCTGCGTCTTTCCCATGCGGTGCATGTCGTGCGCGTCCGCTGTGGTCGCATCCTTCTCCGCCACGTTGTGGTCCAGGCTATGATCGTTGAATATATCTTGAGGTTCTCCGATGTGTGCTTCTGCAAATTTGCTCGACATCATCACGCTGGAGGATCTTTGAGGGGAATACGATGAAGAGGGAAGTAGCAAGTCCCCATCTCATGCGTAGACAAATGTGTTCTTATGCCTGAGAGGTGATGCGGGTGTATCCTAGTCGACTTACGCCCTGCATATGTATATGGTAGCTCAATGAACTCAATACCTGCGCCTCGCTGTAAAGACGATTTCGCATACCGATGCTGCAGTATTGATTAAGCAGCTTGCGACCCAGCGCTCGTCATTGGCAGACGGCTGGGCGTACAGCAAGCAGCGATAAGTTTTGTCTTACGGTGAATATCGCACTGCCGAAAGGATATGGATGATGCCGTTTGTGCTGACAGGTAGATATAGCCAGGCTCTACGATGCAGGCAATCTGCCATCGGAGAGATTATTGGTAGATAATATGCTGTGATCTGGCTATCTGCAACGTGTCGCACATGTGGAGATCTAGACGCTCATACTCATCGGTCAAGAACTCAAGGACCCGCAGCGAGACAATGTTTCGAAAGTCGTGATAGAGTCGAGGCCGTCTGTGCTGTGCGAGAGCGTGACTGAGCTCTGGAGATGATTAGAAGGCAGGTGCCCCTGCGCCAACCAAGAAAGGCTAGCTCATTACGCGTTTTTAGCGTCTTCGGGGTCCAAATGTCGCCAGGGTCTTCGGCATCTTCAATCGCGTCGCTTTCACGCAGCACCTGGAAACCTTCTCAATCCACATCACACCTGGGCATTGCCGTCGAATTGGATGCCTTCTTCTGAATCGCGACATCATGCTCGACCTGCCTCACTCGCATGCCTAGAGTGTCGGCGTACCCACCTCAAGTGCGACGGAACCCAACCTATATGCGGGCGCTGCCAGACTCGTGGTTTTGCATGCACCTACAAGCGTTCTGGACGAGGTCGCCGACGTGGTATAACGCGCGCAGATACTGATGAGCAGCCGACACTGTCTCACACCCCACCCGTTTCTTCTGGCCCGGTCGCGCAACCCGCTGTTGCACAAGCGCTGTCCTGTACGTCCTCTGCAGCGCAATGGCTTCCTCTCGACGATGCAGCCGTTCCACCAAACTCGTCCCTACTGCAGCGTCGGATATCAACCACTCCGCCAGATCAGAATGCCGAGTGGGCTGACGATGAGCAACTGGTGAATCTTTACTATCTGAACTTCCACGCGAGTCACCCAATCCTTCTCCCAAGGGGCATGTATTGGCAACAAGGATACCCTCGTTATTTGAAAGCGGTAGTTCATCTCATCGGTGGTCGCTATTCACATGCTGTCTCGCTCGACGAATTGCGCGAGAACGTGGCACGAGAGTTTGCTCAAAGCGAAGGAAACACAGCCGAGATGGTACAAGCAGGACTCCTGAACAGTATCGCCCTGTTCGCGGAAAACGCTACGGATCAGGGGCAGAAGATGCTTGATTCCACGATCGAACTAGCTTTACGACTCGGCATGCACCAGCGGAGCTTTGCTTCGACGCATGCTGGTGATCTGACTGTGCTGGAAGAAAGTATGCGGAGAACCTGGTACGAATTGTACGTGATCGACGGCTGCATCGCGGCATTGCAGCGAAAATCGACATTCAAAACCAACACAGTAAACGCTGATGTTCTTTTACCATGCGAAGACTTTACTTACGAAGCCGGAATGTGCTTTATGCCAGCAACTATGGCCGAATTTCACGGCAACGTCTTTGCCGAAGAGGAAAAGGTGTTTTCTTCCTTCTGCTACCGCATAGAAGCCGTACGTCTTCTCGGACGAGTTCTGACTATCACTGGAAAGCATGGGGTGGATCGGGATTTGGTGCAGGCCGTTGACAATGCGCTTGCTGCATTCTTATACCACTTACCACGCTCCAAAAGCGAAGCGGAGATCTCAAACACCTTTGGTGATCTGGACGAACTCATGTTCCAAGCACACACCATCATCCAATGGAGCACCATACTCGTGCATTATCCCAGAGGCGATCTCATATCTTCTGACCTATTAACCCAAGACGTACTTGGAGCCAACTGTACCAAGCTCCTTTGTCCCTGCAATCGACAACATATTCACTCCGTCAAAGCTATCGAAGCCTCCAAGACTATAGCTATGTTAGCGGCACTGCGCACTCCAACTCAAAAGCACACACCATTGTTTGTGTACCCACTAGCTCTTGCTGCCGTCGTCCAGCTTTCCATCGGCGCGATGCACGACAAGAGCCCCCGGCGTTGCTTGGACCAGCACGCTGACCGAGTCAAGCTGTTACTTGGGGTACTCAAGTCTATGAGCCGCCAATGGTCGGCTGCTGGAATCGTGTTACGCACCTTAAAGAGGGTAGCATCCGCAGTATTCCGTAGTTCCTCCGTCGATTCATCGTCCAGCATAGTGGCTCCTCCAGCCACATCAATCGATAACGATGCTTTCCCCGACTTCGATCTCCAGGATTTGTACGGACTTGTGGGTCTTGATAACAACTCGTTAGGCATATGATAGGCTCGGTTTGGCCTTTAAAGTCTACTTCAACCATTAGGTCGAAAGTGCAACCATACATCAGTCGCTTCATCTGCGCGAACCATTGGAAAGGATCGTTGTGCCGTGTACATACTGTCTAGCGTCATCCCCGCCAACAAAGTGCTTAGGCCTGCGCAGAGGTGCTCATCGCCGCTCCGTCCCCGTCTCCCATGACCCTTCCTTCATCTTGATGGGTAGATGCATCAAAAGCTCACCACTTGGTGTCGGTAATGGGAGTCTACCAGCGCGTATGTTTATCTGCAAGGACGGATGCAGCAATTTCGGCGCGTTGAGACTCGCATCGCGTTCTTCTCGCAGGATTCGGAAATCGTCCTCCGCATGGTTCGCAAGATGCCTATTCTTCTCCTTATGATCCCGTACAGTCATCCAAGGCACGGCCTCGCATCGTTGAGGACACGCTGGATAGTCATGCCCAGTCCAAATCTTGGTTTCACCCGGTAGTTCCAGTAGCTTTTGTGCCGAAGCATACAAGCTCTTTGCACTACCGCCTGGAAAGTCACAGCGTGCTGTGCCTATGTCAGCGTGAAATATCGAATCTCCGCAAAATACATTGGCTTGGTAGTGTTAGCATTGAGTACAAATACAGATCGCTACAGCGAGCACTTACTGCCGACCTGGTAACCGATATGATCTGGGGTATGACCTGGAAGATGAAGGACCTTCACCCTCAAACTCCCAACCTCGAACATCTCATCATCTTCAAAAAGATGATCGAACGCGTTTTCGTACTCAACGGCTGGAATACCGTATCTCACAGCAAAACGCTTCTGGACCTCCCGAATTCGTTTTCCGATGCAAATGGGTGGTTTGAAACCTTGCCGCGATGAGAGACGCTGCTGGAGGTAAGAAGCTGATGTCAAGTGATCGGCATGTGCGTGCGTTTCCAGTATCCTCTCGATGTGGTACCCGCCCTCCAAGATCGTGGCCAATAGATCATCAGCTGTGTGAGAACTGATTGTCTGGGTAGGCGCGTCATAGTCGAGCACAGGATCGATAATGACAGCTTTCTTGGACGAAGCGTCTGCTACCACGTATTGCCATGTCCCTGTCTTGTCTTCAAACAAGCTGTGGATTGCGGGCTCGTAGGACCTTATGGTGTGAGTACTGTAACTTGATCGGTTTCGGGCTTTCCGCGGGATCTGTAAAGTCGGATTGGTCAGGTTGGTGACGGTGCGGCCTGCCCAGCTCGCATAGTTCGGTGGATTTGGCAATCTGACTGTTCCTTGTGCGATGCATTGAGGTGTCGTAGGAGTCATTTGAGCCATCGATCGTTGCTGTTGCCTCCAATTGCGGACCTCGGGGGTGTGGTGAGACGAGTTCGGCGATCGCCAAAGCGCCTGGATGCGTCTAGATGAGCGTAAATTCTTCATGCCCTAGGATGGGATAGTTAATATTATCCGTGTATCAGCGTCCACTTGTTCATTACCTCCTCCGCTTCGTCTTAAGTATTTATCAATCTCGGGAAGCTGACTGTGCCCAGGTGGTGCCACCTCCATGCAGGGTTCGGCGTTTATCCCACGACGACCCCGACATGACTCGCTCTTGATCCCCGACACGAAACGCTTTTGATCGCCGACATGACAATGGCCTTTGGAATGAATAATTTACTCCCTTACTATTTTCGAAGCTCTTGAAGAGTCGTTTCGTCCACCATCCACAAACCGCAAAATCGCAAGGAATCACATTACCACGGACCTACAGTTACTCGAGCGAAACCAAGGATCGTTCATATCGCCTCTTCGACTTCCCGTTAACCGATACGTCCACACGACCATCAGCAGCTAAGAAATAGCAGTCTACTTGGCCGGAATGTATACGTCGTGCCATCGCTTCACATCGACGTCGCTCCGAACTGCGCTCACAACGCAAAGTCGGCCAGCTGTTCGAGGCCTCGCGACTGTCTCACCTGCGACCAGTATATCAAAACATCACAAGGTCGTTGTCATTGGAAACGGTTCAGCTGGTGTCGCAGTCAGCCATCAACTGTTACGAAAACGACGCTTCAAAAAGGACGACATTGCGGTTGTCGATCCGAGCACTTGGCATCATTACCAACCGGGCTGGACATTGGTTGGCGGCGGCTTGAGCAACAAACTGCAATTCAAAAGGCCGATGAGCGAACTTGTCGCATCTGAGACAACGTTCTACAATGACCATGTGGTGGCCATTTACCCGCAAGACAACTATCTGTCGCTGGGAGACGGTGCCAAAGTCCAGTATGACCATCTCGTCATCGCCCCAGGCATCAAAGTCGATTACAACAGCGTCAAAGGCCTTAGCGAAGCAATGGCCAACCCTGATAGCCTTGTAGCGTCCATATACAGCTACGACCACTGCGACAAAGTATTTCGAAACATTCAGCGTCTCAGGAAGGGCTCGGCCATCTTCACCCAGCCTTCCGGTCTAGTGAAATGCGCAGGCGCGCCTCAAAAGATCATGTGGCTCGCAATGGATCACTGGAGACGAGCAGGCCTCTACAGCAACGATCCCGAGAAAAGCACCATCAAGATGACTTTCGCGACTGGTCTGCCCACTATGTTTGGCGTACCGAAGTACAGCGTCAAACTGAACGAAATGCGAGAAGAGAGAGGAGTCACAGGCCTCTTCGAACATAACCTCATCGAGATTAATGGGAATACTGCGACATTCGAACGACCGAACGGCGAACAGCCCGTACAGCGACATTTTGACTTCCTTCATGTTGCGCCCCGAAATGTACCGCACGCTTTCGTGAAAGAGAGCGGGTTAGGCAACGACGCGGGATTCGTAGACGTGGATCAGCACTCTCTCCGGCACAAGAAGTTCAACAACGTGTGGTCGCTCGGCGATGCGGCGAGTCTGCCGACCTCGAAAACAGTAGCTGCAATCACATCCCAAGCGCCGATTCTCACACAGAATCTCCTGCTTACCATGGATGGCAAGGAGCCAGAGTCCGAATACGATGGCTATACTTCATGTCCGCTTCTGACCGGTGACAAGAAGGTGCTTCTTGCGGAGTTCAAATACGGTGGTATACCGAAAGAGACGTTCAATACATGGTTTGGTGTTGACCAAGCTGTTCCGAGACGCGCATTCTATCATCTGAAGAAAGACTTCTTTCCTTGGGTTTATGATCGATATCACGTGAAGGGCCAGTGGGGTGGCCCAAGTGGCTGGATCAGGTAGCTTTAGATAAGTGCTGAGAGGTGTTGCGATGCGTCTTTTCGAAGGATTGATCCCCTGTATGGAAGTGTTGGATAACGTATCGTATGTATCGGCAGGGCTATATTGGCAATGGCGCGCAGTCGGCGCAAGGACTAACTTTGGCGTATTTGTCCTTTTGCTCGCTGGTGTTGATGATTCTACTGCTATCATGGAATAAGGGGCGATATGTGCATGGGCGGCTATTACGAAGAACACGTGGATGTGTGAAATGTTCATGTTATGTTCTGGACGGCAGACGCGTGTTGGCGGAACAGCACGCTAAGGACAAAGATAGCTTAGCGCAGAGCATGACGTAGGCGTGCTGGCTGACAGGGCGCGTTTGAACTTTGACAATAGGGCGTGCAACAAGGAGATATGTATAACCAGCGCCCAAGCCACTCTTCCCTCTGCTACTGTCAGCCCGAATCACGTACGCGTTACATCCCACTCCGACTACTGCAATCGGTTCCGATTACCTAGCACCATGACTACGAAGACCTCTCGGATCTCTTGCCGGACTTTCGTCGGTCATGCATTTGCCATTTCGAAGGCCTGTCGCTCTTATCACGGCATGTCCGAGTCTTGGAGACGAGGAACAGTCGGCACATGGCGCTAAACCTCTGGTGCAACGTTGCTTCTGTTGTGCAGGACCTCGAACTGGATTTCCCTTGGCCGCTCTGCACGAGAGACGAGGCGCGACGACACCCTCAAAACCCTACGCCACGGCGTTGGACCAGCTGGACACCGACGCAAAAGACATGTTTGCATATCAATACCCTCTTATCTCACGCCCACATTGATATGCACATTGCGAGCCCAACCAGACCGAGCATGACTCCCTTCCAAGACGTGGAGGTGCCGTTCCACCCGGACATACCTTGGCTGCCAAGGCGCGCCTCCGCACCCATGGGACATCTCCACCTACCAAGTTCCTGCGCAAACGCCTCCCACGGGCCTGAATGTTGGTATCAGTAGCTGCAGACGGGTATCATGCCCGTAGTGCTACCCTGGCACGCGACATGTTATCATTGAGGCGTCGAGTCGTCGCTGGCCGTGGCTGCGTGGTGACGCGCGCCGCGACTCTGATCTAAGATCAGGAGCGCAGGGGTGTGCGACGACATCATTAGAAGAGAGACTTGTGCCCAGGCTGGGTTCTCTCACTGCACCTCTACCGGGCTTGTCTCTTTGCCCTCTCCATGCAGCCTCTCATATCACTTTACTCCTTCACCTCGTCTCACTGAGCGCATCGATACCATTTGCCCACCATGAACGTCATCCGCAAAGCTGTGCGGGCGATGTTCCCTCCGCCTCGCGTGGCGCCTGACGGTCGCGCGGAATGGCCCTCTCGAACACCATACGTACTTGCTTCCATGGGCGGAGCGATGGGATTCGGAAATTTGTTACGTTTCCCTTCCCAGGTCTTCAACAACAACGGCATTCAATGGTTTATACCCTACCTCATGGCTGTCTGCCTCCTCGCGATCCCGGTGCTTATCCTGGAAGTGGCTATTGGACAGGCCTACCGCAGCGGCTGTGTCATCGGTTACAACGGTCTTGATCGACGCTTTACCGGCGTTGGATTCGGAATGGTCTGCGTTGGTTACGCTGTGGCCATCTACTACATTCCCATTCTATCCTGGGTCATGGTGTACTTCCGCAGTTCATTCCGTTCCGCAAACGACTTCCCCTGGAAAGATAACCCACAGGAGTACTTCAGTCATGTCGTCAACGAAGTCCCCGCCATTCCCGCGGTCTACAGCGATGATGGCAGTCGA